CTATAGCTTATTTTTTCCCGGCGTATATATATGTCTTGTATTTATATTGAAAATAGATTGATGAAAATACAACAGTAATTGAAGCACTTAATCAATTTGTTAAATATCGTATATCAGCATTACCTATTGTTGATAGTCAACGAAAATTAGTGAACATTTATTCAAAATTTGATGTTATTGTAAGTCAAATATTGAAGTTTTTTTTTTTTTATTGTTTTTACACAAATTATTATTACTATTATCTTTTTCTTTTTTCTCTCAAAATGGAATTTTATAGGGTTTAGCAGCTGACAAAACATATACAAATTTAAATATGACAATTAAAGAAGCATTAGCTTATCGTAAAGAACGTCTTGAAACTGTTGCTAAATGTTATAAAAATGAAACATTAGCAATATGTATGGAACGTATTGTTAAAGCTGAAGTACATCGTTTAGTTGTTGTTGATAATGATGAACATGTTATTGGTGTACTTTCATTATCAGATTTACTTAATTATATTGTTATACGTCCAACAAAAATTCAACCTTTAGTATCACCACTTCCACAAACAACAATAACACATCTTGTACCAACAATAAATGTATTTACTGAAGATGATCCAGTAGTAGAAGAAGAAGAAGAAGAAGAAGATGAAAACATAAATGGAAAAGCAATAGAAAAAAAGACAAATTAAATAATTGTTCCTTTTTTTATTTCTCTTTTAAAAGTTTATCTGCGATTATAACCCGGTGAACACAATGCGTTTCATTATCTTGATCTGTTTTTTTTTCTGTTTCTACACGTAATAATACCTAGTTTGAAAAATTTCTGCTTCTTTTCTTTTTTTTCTTCTCTCTCTCTACACGTATGAATAATGTATTTAATTGTAGAACATGTGTGTATTAAGATATGTGCATGAAATATACCTATTGGTGCATATTTATATATACACATGAAAGAATTTTCTTTTTCTTTTCTTTTTTTTTTTTTTATATTATCTGAATTTTTTTGTATATGTGCAAGAAAATTTGAGAGAAAGGTTATTTCTTTGTTAATCGTCTTTCAACATTGTATAGCACGCTTGTACTATTCATTTTCACTGTGTGTGTATCCTTGTATTCCGTTTGGGAGAGATAAATCCCAATGTTTGTCGCAAAAAAAATTTTTTTTTTTTTTTTTTTTTTTTTTTATAATGCGACGAATGAAAACCAAAAAGTTTATGTTCACTTTTTGAGAAATAACACTAAAAGAAAACGGAATATAATGAAAGTTATTTATGCGCGTAATGAAAGCATACGGTGAACATTCCTGTTTGTTTCTTCATAGTGTATGTGTACATAGTATAAATGTGTACATTTGTGTGTGCGTGTTTATGAAACATTCTATTATTTGACGGAGAGAAGAATTTTATTGGTGAGGAAAAAAAATTTTAATAATCATGATAATAAAAAAAAAAAAAAAAGAACTAATAATAAAGATTGAGATAAAATATTTAATAGTATTTGAAACAATTTTGACTAGAAAAAAATAGATGGTATTAAAATAAAGTTTTGTTTAGAGTATTTGAAATTTAATTAGTTGAATAAAATTTATAGTGTACGATTGAGAAAATTTAAGAAGAATATTTGTCTTTTTTGTTGAAGTTAAAAATGGTCAACAAAATCAGAAAATTCGATAGAAGAATGTTAGAGAATTATTAAAAGGTAGAAAAGACACATTGAAAATGTTTTTTTCAATTCTATTCAAAAGATATTTTTACGAGATTCTAGAATATTCTTTTCAAAAAGTAGACTAAAGCTTCAATACAATTGTGTATCTAGAACTCTGTTATATAATTTATTCAACATTCTGTTGCTATTATGAAAAACGAAATCGCATAAGTCTATGCTTTGCTTTTATTCTGATAGAATATTAAAGAACCAGTTCTAATTATTTTATAATATATGAAATTGAATTTATTGTTTGACACAATGTCTATAATATATTCTTAGTAAACAACAAAATAATTACTATTCGTATGTTTGAATTTGATGTGCTCATAAAGATTAATTGAAGTCGACTGCATGATAAAATTTGCTATCTGGTGATTCCATCATTAACTAATACAGAAATTCAATACGCAACTGATTTTGTTTTTCATCAATTCGTTGATAAAACGTTGATTGACAAGAGAAGTCTTCCAAGTGATAAATCGCTTTTGAGTTGAAATTATGAGCATTATATAGACTCTAATGAGTTTTGAATATTCTGAAAAGAGTTCGTATTCTTAACTCATGCTACAGAGATAATGCACTTTTACGGTATTTTTTAAATAAATACTATGGTTTAGAAAAATTGATTTTCGAATTTCGACTTGAAATTTTATACAGAGACAGATCTTGATGAGAGTAGTTTATTGTGAAAATTTTGAGTCTTTTGATTTGCTTCTATCCTGAAATAAGAACACCAAATCTACCGATTTATATGAGTGATATGAAAGACACGCTTTTGTCGTAACTCTATCTTAAAATAAGAACAACAACAACAAGATCTGAAACATTCGTAAAGGACTATTCTCATGAAGGGCCTATCTCTATGCAAAATTTCAAGCCAAAGTTCGAAAATCAATTTTTCTAAACCATGGGATTTATTTAAAAAATACCGTACAGGTGTAATATTTCTATAGCAATAAGCTAAGAACATGCACTCTTCAGGGTATTCATAGCTCATTTGGTTCTACACAATATTCATAGATTCCACTCACAAAATGATTCATCAGTTGTAGAACTTTTCTTATGAATGCAAACTTTATACAAGGTTACTGATTATTCTGTATTAAATAGAGATGATTGTCATAATGATTGACGCAATAATATCTATAAATTTCATTTAAGAACTATATGAACTACTGTCTGCGATTTCTCCTAAAAGGCATAAGTTTCTTTTCATGACAAAGCAATTTTCTAATCACATGAAAATTGCCTTTTGAATTAATTTCATGATGGAAAGTCTTATTTTGTAATAAACTAATGGAATGAAAAAAAAGAAGAATATTTATCAGAATATTTTTATCGAAACATGATAGTAGCTACGAAAAAGAACCTTGTTATTCTGTCAAAAGCCGTGTCATTGACAGCTTCTCATTAGTCTCTATTTCATGAAAAGAAAATATTCTTAATCTTCTTTTATCTTTTTAAAGATGCTTCTTTTTATTCATTTTATGTCTCTATTGATATCTTATTGCTATTAATCTGAGGCTATCGATAAAAATGACCAACACTTTATTTTATTGTCTTTTTTCTGGTCACCAAGAGTACAAGTCATTGATATCTTGACAATCATCTTCAGAGATCTGTAGAGCAGCAAATAAAGTCATTCCGTCATCATTCTGTTCAGACGTCCTAATCAAAAAAGTGTTTTAAAAAACAAATTTTTCATAAATTTTTCAAGTAAACAGATTAAACAAGTACGATCATAAACGAACGTACTCCTAAATGTGCGACTGTTAACATAATCGAGCATGACAATTGCACATCTTCGTGTTGAATACGAAGAAATACAATGATTTACGGAGACAAAAACCCTAGCTTAATATCTTTGTACATAAATGTCATATGTAGTGTCAGTTTTGCTTCATATTTCTGTATATATAGTGACCTTATTGCTTTATATAAGGTCATGAATACATGTGATTGTAGTGCTGAGCGATAAAAATTGTCAACATATGGTCGCATGCGAAGAAACATAATTGTTTTACCAGAGTATACAACCTTTGTATTTTGCGTCCTACACATATGTCGTAATCAAAATTCCATTTTCCTATCATCAAATATAAAGAAAGGTGCTCGAAATTATTCGTACAACTGACAAATAACCTTGTTATCCAAATACTCCTGCAAGAATTCGACTTTTCGAGTTCCCGCTTTCATAAAAATGTAGCTGAAGTTTTCTAGCATATTTACAAAAAATTTCATTCTTGATTAACCAAATATTTGATATTCTCTGAAGCTAAAATATTAAAATTGTAGAGTTTCCGTTCTATTCAAAATTATTCGTACATCTCCCCTTTCATACAAGAAAACGACATCAATTTCGTCAAAAGCACGAAATTGAATTAGTTTCACGTTGAACCTTCTCAATTATATTTGAATCTCTCTATTGACCATAGTTAAATATAACCAATAAAAATATTGTCTTTTTTCTAATATCCAAACCTAGGCCGATCATGTTCGATCGTACACAACGGTATACTAACTAATTACGACAGATAGCGGCAGCTGTTTGTGATAGTCATTTACAGCTATCGTAAACGATGCTTTACGGTGTGTTGGAGCCATCCGAAACTATTAACGCAAACCATCGTCGTTTACGGGTACCCTAACAATACGACGACTGTAAACGATGTTCGAATAACATCGTAGGGCATAGTATACGTCAAATGTAAAATGCTTATTAAACGTTCATCGTTTCCTATTGTATCTCGTCGTAAGCCATCATTAACGGTAAGGGTGTCCCTTGAGACTTAGAATTAGCGTCTAACAATGCTAATGTTGCTACTTTTGCATAATCATTGGACATCAGAGCTTATACTTTCACATTACTACTCAAGCAGAAAAAAATTTCGAAAAACGCGTTTAAACGCACAATCGGGAACCGCGACTGTGATTCATGCATGCTTATTAAAAAAAACGCACGAAACGACGTTTTTTGTGCAAAATAGTCACTTTTGGAACGTGAAAACGTTGAAAAATTCCAGTTTTTTGTGTTAAAACGTTTTTTTTCTCTGCAGTTCAGAAATAAAGCATTTAAACGCTCAGTTCTTCAATTTTTCAATGTTTTTACGTTCCAAAAGTAAGTATTTTGCACAAAAAACGTCGTTTCGTGCGTTTTTTTAATAAGCATGAATGGATCACAATCGCGGTTCCCGATTGTGCGCTTAAATGCGTTTTTCGAAATTTTTGTCTGCTTGGGTAGCTTTAGCTTTAGCTTTTTTTTAATGCCGACGTGTTTGAAATAAGTTAGCATTATTTTGGTTGCCACCAAATACACGCAACCCACATTGTGGTAGCATAACTTAGCATGCTACTGATACAATGCCAGTTGATGGTTAGAACATTACAGACGACGCTTTTAGCATCTCAGATAATGGTGCTGTCATCCCAGGCAATACCTCTAGCATCACACGTAATATTTCTGGTTATCCACACGATGATTCTAGCATTTCTGATAATGCCTGTAGCTAAGCAGACGATGCTTCTACAAGCAATATTGGGTATATGTATAACAGTTAAAAAATTCTAGCATCATACCTACTCTTTGTAATGAAATCCTTTCAGTGAAGTAACGCAACGTCAAGTATGACGGACGAATTATTCAAGTGCGGACTGACTCCAGCCTACATATATCATTACCATCCTACCGTTCGGTTCATTTGTATGCTAAGTGAGATACTAGTAACTTGAAATAAAATCCTTCAAAAATCATCAAGTATCGGTGGACAGCAACATTTATATTTTCGCCAGCTATGAATACTAAGAGGTTCGTATAACAAGGTAAAATGACATACACTTCCTGGTGCACACCTGTACAGATAAACCATTCTTCACATGTACCATTTAAAGACATTTTAAATCATGTTTTTTGAACGGTAACCAGTAACTCTTGATTAGATTGTTAGAATCTTAGAAGTCAAACGACATACCAATGCTATTCGAA